AAAAGAAACTTTAGAAAAAGAAACTTTAGAAAAAGAAACTTTAGAAAAAGAAACTTTAGGAAAAGAAACTTTAGAAAAAGAAACTTTAGAAAAAGAAACTTTAGAAAAAGAAAAGCTGCAACAAATGGAAGTGAGATTGGAGGATTTAGAAAAAGAAAATAAACGTCAGAAAACTGTGTTCATCATAGTGCAAATTGGTACAGCCATACAGAGAAACATGTGCAAACGTCCTGAGAGAACACTTCGACGACAGCACTTTATACAAGTTTAAAGAGATTGAAAGACACATCAAAAATCTGAAAAGTGAGGCCGATAAAAAGGCAGCAAGAAAGCGGCTGACCGAAATGAACAAAAAGATTTCTTGGGACCAACGTTTGGTGAATGGCCTTCAAATTCTTAATCAAGAGAGAATCGGCATTGCTCATCCTGACTTAAGCAGTGAAAAGATGCAACAAGCTACAGATTTTTTGAAAGAGGAAAATATTTTGAGAGGAAGAATGGTCGACGATGTAAACAAATTAAAAGAATTATGGGAAACCTCCGAAGAATTGTTACAGTAAGCATGCATTTTTCGTAAAGTATTTCCTTGGATATCAAATAAGTTATGTTACCCATGGTTAGTGATAAGTTTGATATGACAGCCTTCGGCCTGATGACCTACTTGAAGTAAAGGCTATACTCTGGGTCCTTACCCCGCTTTAGATCGTTATGCCCCATTTTCTTGGAAAAATTCTTATTATATTGCCATCCCCTTCCTTGAAGTAGTTAGTTTCTGAACTACGATTTTAATTTTTTTCTTCAACTTCTGTTTCAAAATAAAGTTTTAAAAATACATTTAACATGCTTTTAGCGAACTGAATGTGTCTTGTGATTCGTTTACAGCTGGCGGATACTATAAAACTAATGTTGTCTAAAATTATCTAACAGGACAAGCTCTACAGAGGGTCACGATCAAGGCCTTTCACAGGACAAAAAACATATACGAGCAATGCCGTCTTTCACTTCCAGTAAAGCTAGTGGGAAACGATTACTTCCACACCGATTCTTTCAGTCGAAGGGAACAGATTAATCTGGGGTTATTACGATCTTTTTTTTTTTTTTTTTTTTTTTTT